CTGTATTTTACAAAATACTAGTCCACTAAAATACAGCTAAGACAAGATACTTTGTACAGACCAAAGATCACCTTTATGTTATTTGATACGGTAATATGAGTGCACGTGATCTGTGTCATTGTTACTTCTGTATTGTTAGCCAAGCATGGGTAAAAGGTCAATATAATGAAAATAATAAATATATACAAATGTATAATGTTATGAGATTTAAGCTATTTAGACTAAACATTTGTGTTTTCATGTTATAATCTGTAGTCATTCTATAATTAAAGTCAAATTGATAGACCCCATAGAGTTGGGGTAGAGAAAATAACAGAAAAATGTAAAGTTTTACTGTAAACAAACATTTGAAATTTACTTAGGTGGTTTTAGAGATTACACAAATAATATTTGAGATTTTTGGAACAAACAATAGTTTTTTAGTTATAACATGAAAATCACTTTACACATAACTGGTAATTGGACAGACTCTATTTTCACAATCAAATCTATAATAAAAATACTTCATTCAAAAATTGGATTTTTTGTGTATGAAAGACTTGTAATCTTTACTAAAAGCCTACCAAATTTTGTAAAGATACACTTACTGCATTAAAAATTACAGTATAAATACTTAACTCGTATATTATGCCGAGCCCGTCGCGAAAGGGTTAATGGAAAGCATTACTAGGCATATTTAAGAGATATGCATAATGAGTTTGCAAAGAAACTGCAATGCTTATATAAGTAAAGTAGCAACACAAATAATTTGGGTTAGCGGTATATTAACAATGGTGCCAGGTCCACACACACAGAGACCATTTTGATGTTAATTTAGATATTTAGTGTACACATTACATTTTTATTGACAGTGTGTAAATATGTAATTTTACTTTTTGGTTGCAATCTGTGTACTTATCTGTTTTGAGTAAGTGTTCTTTTTTCTTTGCCTGTTTATTTTGATATTAATATTTTCCTTTGTTCTGCTAGCTGAAGTGTTTAAGTTTTGAAATTCTTGGACTGCAAAAGAAGAGAAATAATATCATTTCAAGACTTTTAAAGGGGCTTCTGTTATCCTGATAAGTCTGGCATCAGGCTCAGTTTACCCCAGTTGTTAAATTTTCCTTATTTAAAAAATTTGTAGATGAGCTATTTGTGTCTTCTCTGAATAAAGGATAAAATAAATAAAATGCATGGAAATAAGAGGCCCACGAAAAAGTTAGTCTGACCCTCATTTAAGTAATAAACTGCCAAGTCATAAAACTAACATTTCATTATATAGAGCATAATTTAATTTTTTTTAAATGCTGAATCATTTTTCAGTTGCAGTGCTATTAGTAACATTTTAATTCTAACAAAATAAAAATATGTTTTGATGATTATTCTGACCTACAAAAATTAACTGGTGTATATTTACTATAGTGAAACCTCGATTTTTATGTGCCCCTATTTAATGCGAATTCAGATATAATGTGATGGGTCATTAACTCTTTCGATACAGGCTCGGTCTGTGGGACCGGCCTCATCCATAACCTTGTTATAGTTTACATACTAATAACTTTTAATATTTTAAGTGTATCTTTACAAAATTTTGTAGACTTGTAGTGAACATTAGAAGCCTTTTGCACAGAAAAAAAACCGATTTTTTGATTAAGTATTTTTACTTAAATTGTTCCTTGAAAATATCGAGATCGTCTGTAATGTAACTATAGCACCGATGGAGGCAAGTGTACCAGTTCTTGAGCCACAAGAAGAGGATAATGAACAGCCTCCATCACCACCACCAAAAGTGTCTGAAGCGATTGTACACCTAGAAGCTAGCTTCTATTGGCTGGAGACTCGAGGTGGACCACATAAAATTCTAGATTTCGCTCAAAGCTAGAGACATGCTACGTTCAAGCAAGGAACACTCGATCATTTTTTTAAGAAATAAACTGCAAATGATGATTGCTAATATTCTTGAATGTTTTTATTTGTTGTTTTGTTTATTAAAAAGCCTACTAAAAATAATTTGTTTTAATTTATACTGTAACAACAACGATTCATTTGCAAAATTCTTTAATTCAGAGGTAATTTACTTACCAGAAAGGGAACATGTAAAAAAACTAGTCAAAGAGGGCAAAAATAGAGGTGTTTTAGGATGTTAGGTCAACACTGGGTCAGTTTGAACAGTGAGTTTCTTGAACCCTGATTTAGCGTGACCTGCTTGTTTCGCGTTGACATTTTATGGACCTCAACGATCGAGTTATAATGGGGCTACACTGTACGTGCATTTAAAAACTTTCATAAGTAGTACTTGAATATAAATTTGTGCTTCTCTCAGAAATGGAATGCACTTTAAGACAATTTTTGTTTTTTGTCTGTTTTAGAATGATGCTTAAGATTAAGGTTCTGAAACTGGATGTCGGAATAACATGAATGCTAAAGGCATTGGAAGACTGACTATCATTGTGACTGTTACATCACTTGAATGTACTTAGCTCTATTATATTTTGAGATCCTTTGTCAATTATTTAACTTGTGGTAGGACATAGATAAATATGTACAGATATTGTATAAAATACTTTCTTTGGAAATGTATTATGGAAATGGTACACTGTATTAGCAAAATATAGGCTCATTTGGTATTACTTTCAGGTTAAGTTGCACACTATTTATCTGTATCAAAAATGTGGCTACATTTAAGAATAACTTTTATTTTGTGTTTGTGTAGGTTCATAAGGAGACTATAGACAAAGTCCCAAATGCTTTACCAAATAGAAACAATGTGGATATAGAAATATATGGGATGGAAGGAATCCCTGAAGAAGATATCAGAGAGCATGAAAGACAAAGACAATCTGGATTAAGTGAGTATGCTTATTTTAATTTTAAAAAAACTTGAAGAATAAAAAAAAGTGTTATGAAATATATTTAAAATACATTTATTCAACTTTAATATAGTGATGGTGAGATATTTGGAATAATTATATATATGTAATAAAAGCCTCTCTGTTTGGAACACTTCCTTTGTCAGTAATGTTCAAATTGGCTCGGTGGTTTTTCTCGAGCAGAAGTCTCAAGTTCAAATACTAATTGATTGTGGAATTTTTGTAACTTTTTTAATTATTAACTCATCATATTTAAAGAAAGATATTACAATATTAGGAAAAACACAATAACATAGTATGGATTATTTGTAAACATTTGATTACAAATGCTGGATGTCATTGTGACTGTAGTGCTCAACTATCATGTGGAAGTCTCAAGTTCAAATACCAGTGTTAATTTCCTTTTATTATTATGTTTATTTTTTATATATTCCTTATCATACTTACAACAAGCTCTTCAAATATTCAGAAAAATATGGATACAATTATAGATTAAATAAGGGATAATATATTACATAAAAAACACAAGTAACAATATGTGTCAAAAACAACTTAAATATCTTTTCAATGTAATGGATGCCACTATAACACATTATTATTGATGTTTTTCACCTTTGGTAAGAGATTTTTAAAAATTTAGTCTAAAAGATTATAAGCATTTTTAAACTGACGCATCAAATATATAAATATATTTCATATGATGAATCGAAATACATGAAATAATGTATTGCAATCTACATAATGCAGGAAGTCAAGTGGAACTTGTTTAATTGCTGAATTTCATGCAAAGCCACTTTGGCTCTATGCACTAGCCATCCCTGATTTTGATATTATAAATGAAAAGTTTTACCTTCATGAATTTGGTCTTCACCATAAAATTCATTGCCTTTACCATCAAAATTGATAAATTGCAGAGTCAGGCATTTGGTGAAGTAAGAAGATTTCTTCAAGAAATAGTATTTTGCATAGTTCAATATATAAGGCTTTATTAAGAAGAGCATTTGAACATACCATAAAATATATGCAAGTCAAAACTATAATCAAGGACAACTTACAGGAGATGACTAAATATATATAAAAAATGTTGTTTTTGTGAAATACTAGAAAAAGGGTAGACATTCTCCATACATATATATTGTTACTACAATATAATTAATTTTTATAAAACATGTTCATTAAATAAACATCTACTGTCATATGAAGGGCATTCAGCTAGTTGTTCTATATTAAGCTCTAAATAAGATGTAAGCTATTTGAAAACATCATTTCAACTAATATCTATAAAGATTTTTGTTAGGAGTTGTGGATTAAGAAAAGCTTCATAATTCACAAACTTTTGTTTACTAGTAATGCATTCAGACGTAATATTTATCAAATGTGACTAGTTTTTGAAATCTAGATTGACAGAAAAATTACTTTTTTTTTAAATATTGTATTAGTACATAAAATTTCATGGTTTCTATGCCATACTGTTAAAAGCATCCAAGTCGTGAAGCATGATTTGCTTAAAAACATTTTGGCACTATTTAGGGCAAAACAGTATCTGACAGGGTTGTAAGACTCAAGTTTGGCCAACAGCCATCAACTAAATTGTATTGTTACCTGTAAATAAAAGAAAAAAATGCAAAGCCTGGCTTTTTTACTTATTATTGATACAAATGTTATATTTTATACACCTAAGTAATTTTCGCTTGTTTTATATTAAATACCTAATTTATCTTTTTAATTTTATTTTGGTAATTTATTTTTGGCTACTAAAATTATAATGTAACCAGATCAGAAACACAAATCTTACATTAATTGATAATGGCTTACCATTGATGTTGTTGTGTAATGTACTATAGTCACCATGCTTGCAAGTGCTAAGTTTTAGTACCTAACTTGTTATAGGAAAATATTTCTACAGCTTTCAAAAGGAAATAATATAACAAAAATCTACTGTCAGCAATAACAAAAATGTCATGAAAATCTATAAAAAAATTCTCAGGTCTCTGACTACTGAGGAAATATTTTTAATTTACTGTATTCAGTCTTCTAGTGTGGCTGTACCAGATAATCTCTTAAACTTTTCAACTCCACCTATTCCCAACCAATTTTGAACTGTCCAGGTGGCTGGGAAGGTTTCTGTACCTTGATTTACATTCCATATACACTTTCATAAACAATAAATGCAGGCATTTTGTTTCATCTGTATTTGATGGTTTAATAGTAATATGAACACAAATCAAAACTGCCAAATCATTGGTGAATACTTCAGTAAACAGAAAAATTGAAGCAAAAATCATGTGAAGCTGTGAGGACAGAGTAAATATTATCAAGTATAATTGACAAATTTTTTAAAAGGATAGAAAATATTACTTGTTACCATGTATATTATACTTCTAGAAGAGGTTAAGATATATAAAATAATTTTTTTTCAGTAGATATGGAGATTTTGTAACAGCACCATAGAGTAAGTTTTGCCACTCAGAATGGCATATATTGATGTCAAAATATGAAAATTATGCCATGTCATTCCTTGTTTTGACACTGTTTTACTTGTATTCTGTATGATCATTTTTAATTTCATCATTGTACGCTGAATAGTATAGGTACCTGTTTTTCCATGACTGGCTGTGATAAGGCAAATCAGTTATGTGTTTTTTCTGTGACTTAAGAAATCAGCTTCTACATTCTTATGTCAGGGCATTAGAAAGCCAATGTTTTAATTTGCACATGCATGAGTTGTTATAACAGTCTGCCTCAAAAATAATAGTTAACTAGAAAATTAAATTCCGGTAACTTGTGATTTTTGTAATAGTGAGGAGAACTTTATAAGCTGTGATTACAAAGTTTATGTTGATTTGTTGTTCTTTGTTATATTAAAAATATATAATTTTTTAAAATATAGTACTTGTTTCACTGGAATGTTATGTTCACTGTAGTAGTATTCAATATTGACCCAGAATGATTCATGAGACTGCAATTTTGATAATTCATTAACTGATTTAAATGTCCTTTACTTTTCATCTCATAAAAAATTAACAATGAAAAAAAAAACTATAAAAGTGGTGAAATGAACTACACTGAACTACAGTTTGGGTTTACAACATTTTTATTTCAAAACAAGTCTGCTTTCAGCACAGGCTCAGTCCCTGGCATCGACCTCGTAACCATTTTGTGCTTGTTATAGTTTTCATGATATAAATTTTAAATTAGAAGTGAATGTTAACGAATTTAGGCAGATTATCAGTAAACATTACAATGCTTTCATATGCAAAATATCACATTTTTTTCAAGTCTTAAGGTTTATAAAGCAATGTTTTTCTCATGTAGTTTTTTCTTTTTGCATGTTGCCTATCTATTATGTAAAGTAATATTCACTGTAAGGTTAAAAATACTTTTATGCATCAGAAAATTGTGAAATTTCAAATTCAAAATCTTTATAATATAGAGATAGTTATCAAAAGCTTTTTAAGAAAAAAAAATTTGTCTGTTGTTTTCAGTAAGTAATCTCTGTATGGGTTCAGTAGATTTGACCAATCTCGCAACCACCATAAAAAATTAGAAAATAAATATAAATTATGCCTCTTTCATTCTAGAATGAACACAAATTATAACATGAAAACATAAATGTTTTGACTAAATAACTTAAATCTCATACCATAATACACTTGTATATATTTATTATTTTTATTATATTGACCTTCAGGCATGCCTGACTAACAATCTAGAAGTTACAATGACGTGACTCACGTGCACTCATGTTACCATATCAAATAACATATAACTGACCTGTGGTCTGTGCAAAGTAACTTGTCTTGGTTGTGTTTTAGTAGACTAATATTTTGTAAAATACAGTCACATATTAATTATTATACATTATATATGTATATAGATTATTGATATTTTGAAATAAGTTCTTAAACTTATTTATCCTAAAACATAGAACAGTAAGTCAAGAAGTAAAGCAAACAATTATCTCTTCTAGCTCTGACCTTTGTACTTGGTTGCTGCTTGACATGTGGAGGATATGAAATAAAAATATTTTTAGGTTTTATATATACAATTGAATAACTAAAAGAATCATAAATTACTACATTAATGCCATAGAATTCCACTATAATTTATAAAGCTTAGTAACTAAGATATATTTTAGTCTAAAAAATATGAAATTTTGACTAAAGGTACACTCTACCTCATTGAAATGTTGGTTCAAAAGAAATAATGGTGCAAAGTCCATTAAAATGGCTGTGAAAGCCAGTAGGAGGACATTTTGAGCTTCTGATTGGTTAGTCATATCATATATAGAAGTGTATATAATGGAGCATTTCCAAAAATGGAAAGAATGGGTGGGGTGCCACTGTGTTTGCTCTATTACATGAGCAATATATTATCAAATTGAAAAGATAAGAGGCTCTTATTTTGTATTCTTGGTTGTCAATATCTGTAATTTGAGTTTCTAATTTGTTCAAAACTATAGACTTAGTATTTTGACATCACAGACATCTAATTTGAACCGTGCTGCATTGAAAATACCACGTGACACACAAAAATCGATGTTTATCTGTGTTTTTAATATTTGCTTTTAAATTAAGAAATTGGGTAATATATAGTACTAAAATTTGAATTATAATTACAGTTTGATGCCAAACTTATTGACATAAATTCATGATCTGTCTCAAAAGGGTTAACCCAATTTCTTCTGGTGAGTCTTATTGTGCAAGGGTGAAGAACATATACTTGTCATGACTTTTACAGAGTTACATTCATAATTTAACTGAACACATTTGTTATCAATGGATGTTGGTAAACTTGACATCAGAATATAGTTCATAATTTATAAGGAAATATTTAGATAAATTTTCAATCTTCACTTCCATTTGTCATGTGATACTTGTAATTGATGGACATTCTAAAATCCACATAAGGGAAGAAAGATAATTGAAAACAGAGAATTCCCAGCATTTATTATTAATATTGATAGACCAGAATTTGAAATCAAAACCTCTTACTTTTATGAGATGTCAATAAACTTGTTACTCCCTCAACAGAAGCTCTTCATGTTTATGAACGTACTTGGTTACTCATGCTTACTTGTCAGTGGAACATGTTTATAACCAGTAGAAAAGCCATTTTTGGAACTACATGATTATGACATCTTTATGTTAATTTGTTTTGGTAAAAGGCATCATTTTCAAGCATTTTTATTGAGAGAAGGTTGAAGTCAGTGCTCTAATAAGTAATGAAATTTTTTAAATATTTTTATAGGCCAGTTAGGAATCCAGATAAATTACATTAGCTTTGAGTATTCTGTTTTACTATTTCTATTTTTAAAATGCATGTTTGATAGATATATGTATTATTTTTTGGACCACCAACTCTATTAGAAAAATTTAGATTAATAAAGATGGCCTCCGAGAGCAAAGCCCTCCATCCTGAAGTATTAAATTCCTTATTTTTAATAAAAGTAACTAAAATGTAAAAATTAAAAACTTGTTCGGTTAGAATTTTTTTTTTAATGTTTGCTTTCAGTAATGCATGAAGAACATATATACTTAGAGATTGCATGATGTAGCCTGAAATTTTGCTTATCCATACTTCTGCTGGATCAGTTATTGCTATTTGTGATAGTTAAATGTGATTCCAAGTGCAATGAGACAATAAAAGGAGATGTAAACTGTTACAAACCTGAAGATGTTTAAGATAAATAATAGTTATTTTCTCTTGCAATATGCCATTATTCTAGAAAATAAAAGGTAATTTAGATATATTTCATATTTTTATGTAATGGTTACACAGCCAGTCAATTGGACTGAACCCTTATAGAGTTAAGATAGAGAAAATAACAGATAATAGAGAAAGTTTTACTGGAAAATTTTTTTATATTTGTTTAGGATGTTCTAGATATTATGTAAATCAAATCTGAAACTGTAAATTGAAAAAAAAAGTATTCTTAATATGAAAATAACCTTGCACACAGACTACTCAGACTGGCTAAAGTAAATTCAGAGAAAATCTTTAGTAGGAATACTCTCTTAAAATTCCTATTTTTTTTGTATACAAAGTACTTCTAATGTTTACTAAAAACTTGCCAAATTTCGTGAAGATAAACTAAATAAGTTTAGAATTATAGTAAACATTAATTCTCGAATAGGGGTTTGGTTCAAGTGGTCAACCCTGGGCATCTAGGGTTAAGGTTACTGATGATGATAAAACCTTGTCGAAACATTGTACTTTTG